CATGCTCAAGTGTTCAATTGATACACTTTTTGCTGGGTCGAGCGCTTTTTCGAGAGAGACTTCAATTCGAGCACATTTTTCTAAGACCTGGTGTTTTTGAGGAAATCTTCCTTTTGGTTCATCTTGGTCCCAATCAGGCATAATGAAGATCTTCTGTGATCTTTTGGTTTGTTGGAGTCTTTTGTTCCTGCATGTGCCCATGTTTTTGTAAAGTTGCAGCTGTTTTTTGGCTTTGCAGCTCTTGGATACCTGTCATGGAGATGCAAGGCATTTGGTTGATTGATGTTGGTTGCAAACATGCACGCATAACAATTGCGCACTTCTTGCTTGTTGTGAAGGTGTTCAATGGCAAGCAGGCATCACTCAAAGGGTCTGGGACACTTTCTTTGGAAAGAGTCAGGCTGGGTTCATGAACATGGCATGATGTTGCATGGCATGGAGATGTGGAACCTTGCCTTAGCTTGCTTGCTGTGTGCCTGTTTGCATTGGCTTGATGTGCACTTCATGTCAATGAGCAAATATAGCTTGTCCAAGTCAGGTTCCTCAAGTAGGTCAGATGGTGTTCTTTGAGCAGGCAGCAATCTTGCTGAGGTTGGTATTGATTTGCTTGCTCGTCCTAAGTGTTCATGGACACTTCATAGTAGAACAGCCAGGTGCATCACTCCTGTACCAATACGATCGGTGGCAATGGCTGCAGCACCGGGTTTGTTGGGCAGCTTGCCTTGTTTGGTGTTCATGTTCCGACATGTTTCTTTTGCATGGCATGCGTGTGCATTCATGGACCTGGTTGCATGAGGTGTACAAAACTTCGTTCTGGCTCATGCACTATGGGAGCCCGAGTCCGAAGAGGCTTCAAGTCCGATCAACATGGCCATGTATTCGACAGCTGGATTTGGGGAAACTTCCACGTTCAGAGCAGATCCGACTGACGACTGTCACTACTAGTCGTCTTAGACTCAGCCTATGCAAGCTTGCTTGTGGACTGCCTTCGGTGATTCTGCACTTTAGGCAAAAAAGGAAAAACATGGAGTGGAACCAAAGATTTGCGGTCAACTCAGCAGCTTCCTTAGCATGCCTGGATTTGGCATGTTGCTTGTGTGCGATGGGCATGTTCCAGTGTAGGACCTACCCCCAACAATTTGGAGCTCGTCTTTTTCGAATTTGGTATGATGCACCCCTTGTGGAGAACCGGTCTTTGAGGCGGGTGTTTGAGTTAGAACAACTTTTGTTGATTGCATGTGTTGCCAGGAGCAAACCGCCGGTTAGCAAAGATAGAACTGATCGTGAACTGATTGAATCCTTGGAGCTTCAAGACACCTGGAGTGATGCTAACCTATTTGCTGTTTTTGACTATCTCTACCAGAGTTCTGGCAAAATGATTCCAGATAGTTGGAGGGCTACCATGAGTGAGTTCCACATGGCCTTTCGCAGCGCAGTAGTGGCCAGCGATAGTTTAGTGGATGAGTACAACAATTTAGTCAAACAGCATGCCTCACATCTCCGACGCTAACAAACTGGTCTGAATGGATCCTCGGAGGAATAATGCAACCCGCAATCCGAGCGCAATTTTCCACAAGCGAGCGCAATCTCAAAATCTGCTCGAATGATGTAAGATTTTGGGCTTGCGCTGGCTTGTAAAGACTTGTGCTAGTGGGTTCAGGATTTGATGTAGTTTGGATATGGCTGCTGTGAGGTGGTAGAAATTTGTGACTTGCATGTGTTGGGCAGCTCGTTTGCTCAAGCTTGATCAAACACTTTTTGAACGACATACTGTCAGGATCTGTCCGGCCCAGGCCATGTCTAAGGAGTCGCTGGATGAGGGGCTAAAGCTTCTTCGGATGAACGCGTCAGCCTCTTGTGAACATGGATGCCCTCATCCAGGTGCCTGGTTGACATTCAAGCTGCATGCATGGTGCTTGGTCTTGATTGTTTTGTCACTCAGACACACCATGTTCACGCACGCCATATTCATGATACCACGTGCATGCATGAACATCCATGAAGTTGGCAGGAAAAGCTCGCCAAGATTGCCAAGTTGAAAGCTCAAGTGGCTGAGTCAGATGTTCCTTCGGGGGGATGTGCATCTCCCGCTGTGCCAGGCTTGTGGTGTCATGACATGTCTGGCTTTGTTGTCCTTGACTCCATGCATGCATGCATACATGCTTTCTGCAGGAAAGCCTGTCTCTGAGCAAGCAGCACTCTTGTCAATGTTGCGTGGCATGCTAACATTCAGTTTGAGGGGAGCGAAGGAGCTTGTCAGGTGGGAGTTGAAAGAGTTTGATGTAAGTTGCCGAAGCCGTTTTTTTGGACATGTCCCTTGGAGCCACAGAAGCTAACACATTCCTTGACGCTAAAAGGAATAAGCAATCATCATGCTCAGAGTGTGGGACCAGTATGAAGAGTTCCAAGACACGCACTAAATGCTGTATCACGAAAGCCAGTTTCACACACAATATATTATCTATATACACACAACAGAAAGCGGTTCATATGACGGAATTCAACGCCAATGTGCTTGAACGCGCTGCCAAGATCGCATTGCGCGGGACCCAGCTGAGACAGAAGGAGACCAACTGGTCACTTGTCCAAACGATTGGAAAGGAAGGGTGAAGTCAACATAAGCTGGGGTGTTTGGTAATCCGCATACCCATGAGTACATGTAACTATCACCTGCCTCCGGTATTTTGATAAATTCTCAGTTCCTTTGGTTCAGGGGTTTGCTTTGCAACCAGGGCTTTGGCCAAATCTGGCCAAACATACTTAGCTAAGCAATGCAACTGGCTCAATTTGAGACCATTGGCGCTTGCCAAGCAGAGACCATGACCTTTAGACAGCTCGGCAATGTTTGTCTATTCAACTGCCAAGCAGAGAGCATGACCTTCAGACAGAAAAGATATGCTGACTTATTCAATTTGAGATCATTGTGCTTGTCAAGCAGGGACCATGACCTTTAAAGTACCGTGCAAACTATGTAAAAGAAAGAACTGAAACCGATAACCTTTAAGTTCTTTTATGGACTGAGGCTACCCCAAACCATAAATGAAGGAGCCTTGCATTTGCCACATAATATTGCACAGGGATTGTAAGAACCCCACTCTGGGCACGGACTGAGAACTCACAAAGACCCACGCAAACCAGTCTCTCACCAGTGACGGATCACGATTTGCACTTTTAGAAGCCACACGGTGCATGTCTAAGTTCTAGTTTCTCCACACCATGGTCCACTATGGCTAAGAACCACCAAAAACGACCACAAAATCTTTCAACACCGGAGTTTCGTCTATGTGTCCCATCCCCCTGAGCTGCAATCTCAAGAACTGCCAGTTTTTTGCAGCACGATTCCGACTGTTGTCGGTGCACGATTCCAAGTGTCACCAAGCTTGCACTCTCCGCTTTCACGTGTTTTAACACTGTTTTGCTGAACTTTCAAGTAACATTGCAAGCTAGTTGCAATCTTTGAGGCCACAGGAGATGAAGCAAAGGATGCTTATGTTTTCTTTGAAACATCGAAAGGGTATCAAACCTTTTCAAAAGATTTCAAGGGCCTCCGCTGTCACCTCATTTGTTACGGATGACACATGATTGCCGATCGCCGATCGCACGGGTCAGGGGCTCTCGCACCAAAACCTGGCCGAACGCCGATCCCGCATGGTTCAAAAGCTGTGAAGTTTTCAGAAAACTGAAAAGCTGAACAACATGTCAGACAAACTCATTCGATGTCCTCAACATCATCACATTCTGCAGGTTCTTCCTCTTCCCCCTCAGCTGTAGCGTCCTCCAATTCAGGCGCTTCCTCATCCGCCAACTCAGTCGACGGTTTGCTCTTGGCCCAAGCAGCGGCCACCATTGTGTCCTTAGGAGTTCATTGCGTCCGCAGTCACATTCTTTTGGATTCTTTTGTGAGCATTTTGATCCAATGGAATCCATTGTTGGCTAAGACACAATGAGGGCCGATCCAGCTTTAACATCACCCTTTGTGCGAATCAATTCATCTCGAACCGCAACCTTCAATCGAAACTATGCAAAGAGAGCCAACAAAAAGATGCAGCGCATTCAAGTTGCCAACAATTTATGTTCACCATTCACTTTGCACCAAGTAGCTGCGATGTCCTGCAGTGTCTCCGCACTGAGGCCATCCACCGGCTTCAACTTAGATGCAACATGATTCAACAAAAAATGTTTCTCATTGATCCTGAAAACCTCTAAGAAGTTCATGTCATTGCTTTGAGTGTCACATCAAAGGGACTCGTAGCTTTTCACTGCCGTTGATCTTGAAACCATACATGCCGTTCTTGTACAAGCCTTTCGAAATCGAGACCTTGGAAGGTTCCTGGCGTGCCTCCGATGCAGCTGCAGGACGTTTCATTTGAGTCTTCTTCACAGATTTGACAGACTCACCACAAGCTTGGACAGAAGGTGTCTCTAGGGTAGGAGGTTTCTTCTTCACAGGAGATGCTTTCGGCTTCACTGGCAAAGAAGCTTCAGATTTTGGAGTAGCTTTTGCTTTACCCTTAGGTTTAGCTTTTGGAAGCACACCACCCTGCGGCTCTGGCGGTTTGTGTTCCTCATCAGATAATGTATCGACAGCATCCAATGCCATCGCACACAAGCCTAAATAGCCGATCATGAGCTGATCATGAGCTGATCCAAAAAGGCCTATGGGGGAAGACCAAACAAATAATTCATTCAAACACCCTTGCATTGCAGGACTGGTTCTTCAGATTTGCAGTGTGGCATCTCAGAGCTGAGCCTGGGTTCATTTGGACTCGACCGCCAATCCGGGTTGCATTGAAGCACACTACCCATGGCACAGGTTTCTCCCACGCCTTCTCAAAAAGCTATGTGATTCGACATTTGGAGTGGCATAGGTGTTTCATTCAGCAAAGCTTGTCAAGAGTTGAACAGTGAGTTGAACATACTATGAACTATAAATCCTGGAGTGTCAACACCACTAGCCATCCATGCAATCACACCCCAACCCCCAACGGTTTGGAAGCATGTCACTTCAGTTTGACTGCGTATCCATCTTTGATGGTGATCACACCCAACAAATAGAATTTTGGCTTGATGGGCTTCAGCACGGCGGGTACTGATGCATCCACCTTGACCTAGAGGGCAAGTTTGAGGGGTAGACACAAAGATTGCAATTCTCAAATTCATGTTTTAAAACATGGCACTGTACGTGTATTGGGATGGGTTTACCACAAAAAGCATTCACAACATTGCCTCCCACATCAAATTGCACAGCTGGCATTTCGGCAACTGGGAGTATTTGGCATTGAACGTAGCGCCCAGTTGCACGGACCGCATGCTCATCCGGTCGACATCACTTCCAACCTCCTTGGGCCTGTATGCATTTACACTGCCCATAGGTGAGATGTTGTAGCGATAGGCCAAAGCCCTCCCATCAGGTCCAGCCTGCCAATTTATGAACATCAACTGTCATGGGTGGAAGGATGGATGGAGAGTGGGACGACAATGAAGGGATGGAGAGGGGATGGATGGATATGATGATAGCATGGAGGGACAAATGGATAGACCCACAGGTCGATAGACATTAATGAGGTGGATGGATGGTTGGATGATGGGTGGATGGGTTGGATGAAGTTGCGTGGGTGGATATGGAAAGCTCATAAAAAGAAAGTAAAGGGACAAGTTTAAGCAGATGGACAAACGCAGCTTTCAATAGGCACTGTTTTGACACATGCGTTCAAAGTAAATACTGGCCTTAGGCTGCACACTGTGGTCAATAATTCTGATCTCGGTTACGCCCTGATGCTTGGCAACGTCACACATGATCTCGGCAAGAGATTTGATCTCTTTGGTATCCGCCATGGCCACCAAGGAGTTGTCTTGGTTCATGACCCAGCCAAGGTGCGCATCCGAGGGATCAGCGCTGCCTGGAAATATTGAAGATAAAAGGAATATAGGATATTATAGGTGTTTTTATGTTTCTTTTTCTGACCATGTTTAAGCCTTCGTGGTACATCAGCAAAAGTCCCTGGCCTAGCGGTACTTCTTGGAATTGGCCAACATTGAAGCCAAAGAGCTCACCTGGTGGAACCTCAACGACAGAGCCATTCCCACTTTTATTGATAAGCCACAAGTGGTTGCCACTGGTGATGCAAATCTTCACCCCTGATACTCGAGGGAGGTCTGCCATGCACTCCACCCTTAGCACATAGCGACCCCAGTTGAACTAGATCGCACTAGGAAGCCACTGCAAAAAGGATGAAACCTTCAACCAACCTTCACCAAACACAAACATAATACCAATACCATCAAAGCTGCGTGTTTCCAGACTCAAAGTCACTCATGGAAACCTCATCCAAGTTGAGCGGCTTGCGGAAATTCAGCGGTGCATCGCCTGTCCACTCAGGCGACGCGAGCGTCCTGGTCATGGTGGTGGCGGCTGCAACTGGCTTTCCAGGACTGCTTCGATTGCTGGCTGCATGGTAGGACCTCAGAGCTGCAGCCATGTCAGCATCCGCAGAGATCTTCTCTAAGAACTCTTTCAAACCAGCTTGTTGCGAGTACTTCTGCTGCAGCAATTCTGGAAGCCTTGGGGCCAATCAGAAACATGTAGTTTTCGATGTTTCTTTATGTCCAGAACTGTGTGTTCCATTTTGCTCATACATGAGACTGCAAGCAAAAAACTTGATTTCACCTTCATTGACAACCAAGCTCTGCAAAGTTGGAAAAGCCTCGGAAAAGCCACTGGCTTCTCTGGTCTTGGGACCTGCTTTGTCACATCCATCCCAATAGTCGGCGATGAGCCGACCCATCAGCACTTCATTGGCAGCACTTAGCTCATCAGCATTGTCGGAGTGATACACCCCCAAGAAGCGCAGATCCAATTCCCGATTCGTTTCCATCAGGAAAGCTGATTGCAAGTCCCACGTCGCCAAGGACCACTCACTGAACCTGAGCCGGTGAAAGGGTCCAGGATGGATATAAAAGTTTGTTTTTCATCAAGACTGGAACATGTGCGAAATCAAGCTCACATTGAATCCTAGCGTGAACATTAGAACTCAGCCTGTTGGGCAAGAGGTCACACACCAGCACCGGCTGCTGTGCATTGCTCGAAACACCTTCAAGCAAGTGCTTGATGATGCCAGAAGTTGCACTGATGCCTCTCTGTTGGACCTCAAAGCCATGTCAGCCAATCCTGATCCAACATCTATATCCAAAATATGACCTGAAGTTCCGAAGTATAAACACGCCAATGATTTGAATCAAGGAACACGCCAATGTGGCGCTAGCGATCTCTCGGGATCCGGATTCTGGAGTTCTCCAACTCTGCTTCGTTCGATGTCGCAAATGCTTCCCAGGAGAGCTTTGGACTTCGTGAAGGCCGAGTTCGACGAGGCACAAATGGCAGCCATACCTGGGCAGCGACAGGGCTAGGTGGATGATGCTTTTTGGAGTTGTTGAATACCACTGCAATACAAACTTTCAAAAAACACACAAAAACTGACATGACAACCCATGTGCATGAAAGGTGCATTGTTGCGAAGTCTTTCTTTTGTCCCCCCCATGCTGGGCATCAGCGTAGTTGATCGCGAGCTCGAAAACATCCATGCACCTGGAAGACAATGGCATGAAACTAGTTTGACATGTAGGTGCGATCTAGAACGGGAAAGGTAATTGGTTTCATGTTTTTTTTGCAAACAGGGCACGCCCCCACTTTGTCCTCCAAAAGTCTTCGGTTCTTCAGCACTGAGTCTCGCTTCGTGCTAGAGTGACATTGGGGCATGCAAAAGAAGGCAACTGAGCTGGTGTTTCCAGAGCTCACCGACGCACAGAGTTGAATGGCCTCGTCAATTGATATCTGACCTGAGAGGCACAAGTCAGGCGCACTTAACCTTTTTGGGAATCCATAGACTTGCAAAGAGTAATGCAAGGGGCGTGTGGGCCACAGCGTTGCATCGACCACAAGGATTGTGAGCCTAAGCCATAACATATTGTTTTCCTGTTCTATCTATGTCTTCATGATTACGCAAGCAATGTAGTTTCGATCAAGAAGCCCGTCGGGTCCCATCTCCGCTTGGGCTGATACGATGGTGCTGTGCGCTAACACCAGCGAATTGACATGAATCAGTTGATGCTTCCGTTCCAGAAAGTCACTGCACCACTCCTTACCTTTTTGAAAACGGTCATTGATGTGCTTGAAGTCCAGCGCTCCCTGGATCAGCTCATGAGAACATGGTTTCGTCTATGGTACAATCATGTATAATCACTGTTTTACTTTGCTGACAGACTTCAATTAGCTTTGTTTTTTAGAAGGCCTGCTGTTCAGCGTATGTTTGGAACTTCTTGGTCCACAGCTTGATCTTCTCTAGATCATCTTCCATTTGAAGCACTGTTTGATGCCATGTAGTTACCAATAGCTGAGCACTCAGCCTCAAAGTTCAACGTCGCAACACATTACAACATAGACTTGGTGTGTTTTGTGCACATCTGCCAGGAGACTCTGCTGCTTTGTCGCGGTTGTCCTTCTCCATCTGCAGATCAGACACAGGCCATGATCTCATTTTCACGCCATGACTAAATGACATCAGGCCCTGGCCTGAGCATAGTACTTCTGAATATGCGAAGAAAAGATGGAGACCCTTTGCAAATCTGCTGGTGGTACTGATCCCTCCAGCAACTGTGTAAGATCTGCGTCTCCATGACGCAACTCGAACCTCACAGCACCGTTGCCCATAAACAACTTTGTCAGTTTGAATGGTTGTGAATAAAGACTACTGCGGTACGATGTAAGATAGAGATGGCTAAGTTTATCGCGTTTTGTGGATGTCGGGAAGGCAACGGTCTGCAAAGGCTGCAGGGATCATGGTTTGGAACTGCTCCAGGCAAGCTAGGAACCCCCCGCAGATTCGCTGTAAGCTTTCCTCAATTGTTGGAGATCAGATCTGGAATCGTTGTTACCCATGTTGACACAGTGTTTGACACGGGAAGCAGTTGGTAAACCCACAAATGAGCTGCCTAGAGTCCACATCTTTCAAGTTCCAAGGCCGGCGGTTCTTGGGTGCAATTGCCAGCCAGTCCTTCTCCAAGCGCACGACCAAGATTCGCAACAATGCAGGTGAGTTTGTCAGCTGCTGTTTCCACGGTGCTAGAATTCCAGTCGCCGAACAAAATCCACCATTCAGCAAGTTGGCACTCAGGGTCTCATGATTCAGGAATCGCGGTTGCGTGTATTTCCTCGAATAGACTTTCACTGAATGATTTTAGCACTTCTATGAACTTTTGCTATGAACTTTTGTTTGACTATCTCTGAGTTGCTATTAAGTGAACTACATTCTTCAGAAAAAGCAACGACAAGACTCTGCACCAATAGCGTCAACACCTGCTTGATTTCAGAAGGAATCCTCTGAAGCAGGTTCACAGCTGCGCCACATTCCTGTTTTCCAAGGCTGTACGCGTGGGCGAAGTTTGCAATTCCCTCAGTGGCCTCCCAGGAATGGTCGAAAGACTTCAACTAGTCATGACATGTTGTAGTTTGATGTAGTTTGATGCCATGAACAATCATTGTCAGTCTATTGTCCACCTCGAGACTTCCAAGAACTTGTTCTCGCGACATGCCACCGCGAATCATCATTTCCAGCTGGTGGACCAGATTAAACGCATTAGGCTTCCTCCTCACAGAGGAGCCCAACGTGACTCCTCACAACTACCAGGAATTTCAAATTGCTTCCTCCTAACTAGCAACTACTAGTAACTAGTAACTAGTAACTAGTAAAATAGTTGTCGCTCAAGCCCGGCCTCTGTTTGTGCTGACAGCGGTGCTGAGCTCTGAGTTCACAGCAGTGCCATAGATCGTGCTGAAGCTCCTGCGCAGAACATGAATAGAATATTTAACAAGGGAACGGAAGAGTAAACATGAGTACACGTTGTTGAGCACACCCAATTGGGATGCAAGCAAGGCGCTCGCGGACATGGTCTGGCATGGCCTGCATGCTCATGTGAAGCAAACATGTTCTTTTGCAAGGTGTTGCAAAGCAAAAGTCCACAGAACCTGGCCTGCAGCAGATGAGGATTCTGGTAAGCTGCATAGCAGACCGTCAAACAGCATACGCTTCTATTCCAGCCCTTCACCATAAAGGCGTTCCCTGGGCTCAGCAACTTGACATCTTCGATGCCAAGATCTTCATGGGCTCGAATCTGCGTCAAGGGCTGGCTAAGCCAGCTGTTCTGCGTCAACGCACAGCACACCTTTTCCACTCCTGGTTTGTTTGCGTCTGTCATCATGCCGTTGAGTAGTATTAGTTGACATAGGCTCCGTTGCACATCCTAAGTATTTCACATCCATTTTAAGACTGCAAGCAAAGAGATGCTTTCAAAATATATCAAACCTCAAGCTGTACTTGCTGAGCTGCTATGTCACCCGTTCCACGAAGACCTAAGTCTCCCCTGAAAGGCAGTTGCCACGGTCGGAGTTGCACAGCACCCCCATTTCGGAGGTCAGCCAATCCACAGTATGTCCTAAGTCGAAAGCGACGATCTATTCTTTTCTTTCAAAGCTGTGTCAACAGAAACCAAATCTCAGCGACTGACACCCCCGAGGTCGCTGGAAAGCTGTTGTCCAGGAACTTGAAGAAGCCAATGGCGTTGGCCTGAGAAGCAGGTGGTGAAGGATTTCAACATGATTTCACATCTCAAAAGATTAAATATGAAAGCCTCATCGGAAAGATGTTGAGACAGGAAGATATCCACGGTCAAGCCCTTCTCCACAATCTCTTCTTTCCTGGGGGGTGTGTGACACAAATATATACGATTCCTTTTTTGGTGGGGTTTGGAGGCTCAGGAAGATGCGTGATTGTATGATGCGGATTCAATATGATCTAACATCTAATTGTGAAAGTATACTACTGGAGCAAATTTATCCAAGGTTCATCCATTCCTCAAACATCACCATGTGAGGTAAGGCCATCGCATCTGGAGAAACTCCTTCTCCAGATTTTGCCTTCTTCGGTCTCTGTGCCTGAGGCTGGCCACCTGATGTCCTCTTCTTGGGCGGCATGCTGGGCACCTGGCAGTTTTGCGACGCGGGAATTGTGTTTTGTGAAGTGAAGCATCTTCACAAACAACACTTGAAATTTATCTATAGTGTTTGTGAATAAATACGACCCGATTATTCACAAACTTCAGTCTCCCAGGCTGCCGTCTCAAGGCCAATGTAGGCTGAACACAAATTTTGTGAATTGTGACGTGGGAACAGGTGGTTTGTGAAGAAATACGACCCGATTATTCACAAAACAGCTCGGTTGGGGGATGCCTCAAACTGTTTGGAACAATCTCTTCACAAAACCAGCGGGGGTTCTTCACAAAACCAGGGTCCCCAGTCCATCAACCACTGCTTCATCCCAGAGCTGACTCTTTTCCCATCTAGATGCTCATCGCTTCAGAAACAATCTTGATTGCTTCTGCCATCGGAACTCCATGTGACCAAAGCCTGGCGGCGGCAGTGTGCAAGGCTTGATGTTTCCGAGCATTCCCGTACCGTAGAAGTTCCCCACGATCTGGCCGCTGGTGCACCATGTTCAAGGGATTTGGGGCCTTAAGCGTCCATTTCTTTCGAGTATAAGTCAAAAGACACACTGCAAAGAATTTAGGTTCTGACCGCATCCAAATCTCGACCCACAGCTGCCGGCTGCGCGGCCACTCCAGGCCCAACACCAGGCCCAAGATGAGGCAGGGCCCTCAGAGACTGTGGAGTGATGTCCAAACAGAAACTTTGAAATATAGTATATAAATATATATAAATATAGTATATAGTATTGACTTGCAAAAACATAGATTTCACAACTGGGGTTTGCACCAATTGACATCGAGAAAGGGTTCTTGTGTGTGAACACCATTCGCATATTCTTCCAGCGCTTGAGCTGCCGCATGCATGTCGAAAGGATCAGCGCCTGGCAAACTTTTCATACCCGAAAGTTCATGCTGATTCTGTGTCATTTCACTTAGGCCCAAGCTCATCAAAGCTGCATACTTTCTATAGGCCCGGTTCTCTTCAGATTGGGGATTGATGGGCTTGTCCCAGAAGACTGCGCGAGTCAGCGATCAAGCCGGACAACGATGTGTTTCCAATTCGATCTCACAAAACATATATGATGTTTGCCTGGTGGTGAATCACCTTGCATTCCACGGGCTACCAATTCTGGAAGGAACAAGATAGGTGGCCCGTCCCAAGAATCATTGCTCATGAACCGCTTGGTCCTGACAAACATTTATTGTCCAAAGACTGACTGAAGAGTTTCTGTTCACAAAGCACGTAGAAGTCCTGAGGATGACATCCCCTCCGCTCGGTTCATAATGCCTTTTGCGCCAGAAACGGTCGTTGATGTCACATCTTGGGATGCCTGCTGGAGATTTGCGCGAAGTCCAAGACATCAGACGGTTAGTCAGCGCATGTTTGGGAAGGGTTGTGTAATGCTGAAAAACCAAACAAAGTCTTCTCCTGTGTCCTCAAGTCTATCAAGACGAAAAACATGTGGCGCTCCAGGACCACCAATTCCAGTGATGTGCGCTGCTCCAAAACGCTCAGATAGAAACCCTTTCCTGAAACAGAATTCCGCTGAGGCACTGGGATCAGGACAGAGAAGAAGAAACCAAACTGTGACTTGCAGAAACACACCAAAGGCTTAACCTAAGCGAAACTCAGTTTCCAGTCGCGATACTGCGTTAGCAAATATGCTTTGCGATAGTGCTTCTCCAATGGGCGCCTTTCCGTGGAATCCATAAACTTTTGAATGGAATCAACATAGGCCTTGGGAGTCCACATCTCGGGTACTGACTGCAAATACTGTGCTACTTGGCTGAAATAGCCATCGATATCTTCATGGGAATGCCCCGAGCTCAAGAATGACACTTGCGTTGCGCGTACCTTGCGAAGAGCTGTCAACAGACTCAGTTGCTTCAAAATACAGTTGTTCTTGATTTCTTTCGTGCAGTTGTCTGCCTGGACATGCACTGTTACACAGCGCATGTCCAGGCGCCGTGCTACAACGGAAAGTCCATGGGATAGTATCTCGCAAGACCTGGACGAATTGCATGTCACAACATGCGGGGACATCGCTGTTGCCAACAAATGGCCGTGTATGATGAGAGTTGTCGATGCCAGCCGTGGTTTGTTCATTGCGTTGAACTCCTTTGAATATAAGCTCAAGGACTTGGGCCAGGCATGCTTGCCTTGATCCATGCTGTCCAAGATGCAGGACAGGGTGTACACCTGATTGTTCGCGCTTTCCAGCCTTGATTGAGCCCTTATGCTCCAATAGTGCTGTCTGTCGCGGTGCTGACGTGAGAGGTGTTTGAATAAGAGTTGTTCTTGAGCTCGACGCGCAGGTCCTTGGTGACCTAACTTCCTGAGGATTAGCCGATGCTTGACACATTGGCCACACTTGCTGTGATGACTCCGGAAGCGGATCCGGAGTTTGTCACAGAAGTCACGTTGCCATACCTAAGGCTTCCACGAAGCACAACAACACGCCTATTGTGTTTTGAAAAAACAATTTTTGTACAAAACAAAGTTTTGATGCCAAGCACACTTGTGAACAGCTTTTTGCTAATCTTCACGCCAGGAAGGGCAGCGACACACTGCATCCAGTAGTCGTTTATCGACCCGTGCGGGAGATGTTTGATGCCTTCTCTGTTCATGGTAGGAGGGTCAATCTTGTTGACCCCATGTCGTGGGCGTTTGTTGCTGTTCAATCCATCTGGGATGCTCTCAGCGGCCTCATTGTATAGCTTGGTAAGATATCCATGAACACTGAACCAAGCAGGCGATGGTGTTTTTGGACCAGTTTTGACATACCTTAGGTCAAAGGGCGGGTCCTCTGCATTTTCTGCAAGCGCCCTTCGCATGCGCTCAAAACGACCCTTGCCAATCCCCATAAGCTTGGCGAATCCACGATGGCAAATTGAGTGACCTCCAAACACCAAATGGCGCGATCCCCGGCACGCCTGCTCAGACTGCTGCTTCATCAAGCTGTAGACCTTGAGAGGCTGGTGTTGGGACAGCGGGAATGATACTGGAAGGGAAAGGCCTAAGTCCCTGACATGTTGATCCTTCTCAAGCTTCGTCATTTGAATGAAGCGCTGGCGGAGCGAAACCCATTTATCCCACAAGTGCCAGCCAACCCTCCATGGCCGGAAGCACTGCGATGAACAACCGCACTTTGAGTTGATCAATTGCCTGAGCTTTTGTGGATCGGCTGAAGTGTCAACCTTAGCCACCTTTCTCACGAAGCCTCGACCCGGTCGCTTCGCCCGCCGACCGCTCGGCGTTGGTTTCTTGGATGGTTCTCCAGCCCCATCGTCACTGAGTTCATCAACATTTGCCAACGTAGTTGACATAGCCCCCACCTAGCACAAACATTTCCGTATGGTTACCAACGATTCACGACCCCTTTGACCACCCACCTGTTTCCCAGCACAGGCGGAAGAACTTGAAGCGCAACTCATGCTCAAGCCTTGGATGGTTGTGGGGCATGGGAAGAAACCAAGAGAAGGGTCTACGTAAGTCATGTTCTGAGTTGAAAAAAGCCAAGTGGCTGAAGGTGAGCAGACCCCAGATTGCGAAACCCAAAACCAAACGGGCCATGGAACCACAAAGAAATGAACTTTAGTCAACATAATTCAGCATTGTTAGTTAAAGTTATGACATGTTTGAAGGCAAGTGTGACCACATATGCACCATGTTTCGCAATGACAAATCAAAACTGTGAAGCCATATCAAAATGCAAATGCGACATGCATGTCATGTGACATGTGAGCCCTGAAGAAGCGGTAACGCACTGAAAACATGGGAGATCATGGGAGAGACATCCAGCTTCAGGTTCGAATGGAAGACATGCCAGAGGGACGGAACACGCAGGCCGCACTCCAAAATTGGAAAACAGCTGCGGGTACGAAAACTTGAAGATGCTCTCGCAGTTTGTGTTGTTGCAGGCTTCAACTAAAAAAGACCAATGTTCGCACCACTCTCCATGTTCTCACCCCTGTCAGATTCCAAGCTGCGGTAAGCTTATGTCGGTAGACCACAGCCTGCAAGGATTGTTGCACCTAACTTATAGCACTGAATTGCAAGGACTTCCAACACTTCTGATAGCGACCCGTGGGATCAGCCAACTCTTCAATCTAGCATTTCAACTCACAACGATGACGGAAGTTCATTTCATTTCATCCAACACATCTAGCTCATCCCCTAGCACGGTGCTCAGAAGCCAAAAGGTTCAAGGCCAATC